ACCACCAAGGCTGGAGACGGAGCAATACTGGAAGAGCATATGGGAGAAGGACGCAACCCATAATGGCAATGCTCAGTGGCTAGTGGATCTGAGGGCAGACCACAGCGACCTCCCTGAACAGGGTCCAGTAACCATCACAGTGGCAGATATCCAAGAAAGGGTCTCCAGTATGAAGAGTTGGACAGCACCAGGGCCCGACATGGTTCACGCCTACTGGCTGAAGAAGCTGACTGCACTCCACGAGCGTCTGGCAGCACAAATGAACCAGCTGCTAGTTAACGAGAGACACCCGGAATGGCTAACCGAAGGTCAGACGGTCCTGATCCCCAAGGACCCCAAGAAGGGACCGGTCCCTCCAACTACCGACCAATAACCTGCCTCAGTACTACATGGAAGCTCCTGTCAGGCATCATATCGGCTAAGATGAACAGGCACATGGGTCAATACATGAGTGGGACACAGAAAGGAATTGGCAAGAATACCAGAGGCGCAAAACACAAGCTACTGGTAGACAGAACAGTCAGCCGAGACTGCAAGACCAGACTGACCAACCTGTGCACTGCCTGGATTGATTACAAGAAGGCCTATGACTCAATGCCCCACAGCTGGATACTGGAATGCCTAGAATTGTACAAGATCAATGGGACCCTAAGAGCCTTCATCAGGAACTCAATGGGGATGTGGCGTACAACACTAGAGGCCAACTCCAAGCCCATAGCACAAGTCACCATCAAGTGCGGGATCTACCAAGGAGATGCTCTGTCCCCACTGCTGTTCTGCATAGGCCTGAACCCCCTCAGTGAGATCATTAACAAGACTGGCTACGGATACCGACTACGGAACGGAGCAGTTGTCAGCCACCTCCTGTACATGGATGACATCAAGCTGTATGCCAAGAGTGAACGAGACATCGATTCACTGATCCACACTACCAGGCTATACAGCAATGACATTGGAATGTCGTTCGGACTGGAGAAGTGTAGTCGGATGGTAACAAAGAGAGGGAAGGTAGTCAGAACTGAGGGGATTGAACTACCAGAAGGCAACATTGCAGACATAGAGGACAGTTACAAGTACCTGGGGATCCCGCAGGCAAATGGGAACCATGAAGAGGCCGCTAGAAAGGCTGCAACCACCAAGTACCTGCAGAGGGTCAGGCAAGTCCTGAGGAGTCAGCTGAATGGTAAGAACAAGATCCGGGCCATCAACACGTACGCCCTGCCCGTGATCAGGTACCCTGCTGGGGTAATAGGCTGGCCAAAGGAGATAGAAGCCACTGACATAAAGACAAGAAAGCTCCTTACCATGCATGGAGGGTTTCACCCAAGTCCAGCACCCTGAGGCTGTACGCTAAGCGGAAGGAAGGGGGCCGGGGACTGGTGAGTGTCAGCACCACAGTCCAGGATGAGACAAGGAACATCCAAGAATACATTGGGAAGATGGCCCCAACTGACCGAGTGCTCAGTGAATACCTCAGGCAGCAGAAACCCAAGAAAGAGGAGGGAGACGAGGAACCATCATGGAAGGACAGGCCCCTGCACGGTATGTACCACCGGCAGATAGAGGAGGTGGCTCATATCCAGAAATCCTACCAGTGGCTGGACAAAGCTGGACTGAAAGACAGCACAGAGGCACTAATCATGGCAGCACAAGAACAAGCTCTGAGCACAAGATCCATAGAGGCTGGGGTCTATCACACCAGGCAAGACCCCAGGTGCAGGCTGTGTAAAGATGCCCCAGAGACAATCCAGCACATAACAGCAGGGTGCAAGATGCTAGCAGGCAAGGCATACATGGAACACCATAACCAAGTGGCCGGCATAGTGTACAGGAACATCTGTGCCGAGTATAACCTGGAAGTCCCGAGGTCAAAATGGGAGATGCCCCCAAGGGTGGTGGAGAATGACCGAGCTAAGATCCTGTGGGACTTCCAGATACAGACGGACAAAATGGTGGTGGCTAACCAACCGGACATAGTGGTGGTAGACAAACAGAAGAAGATGGCCGTAGTGATCGATGTAGCGGTTCCGAATGACAGCAACATCAGGAAGAAGGAACACGAGAAGCTGGAGAAATACCAAGGGCTCAGAGAAAAGCTCGAGAGGATGTGGAGGGTGAAGGTAACGGTGGTCCCCGTGGTAATCGGAGCACTAGGTGCGGTGACTCCCAAGCTAGGCGAGTGGCTCCAGCAGATCCCGGGAATAACATCGGAGATCTCTGTCCAGAAGAGCGCAGTCCTGGGAACAGCTAAGATACTGCGCAGGACCCTCAAGCTCCCAGGCCTCTGGTAGAGGACCCGAGCTTGAAGGATAAACCGCCCGCAGGGGCGTGCTGGGTGTTAAGTATATATATATATATATATAATGCGTCATTCATGTTCTGCCAAGTTCATGTGAAATATTTATCTAAAATGAAGACCTGCTAAGATTTTTCTATTATGTCCTAATATGTAAAACTGAATTTAATATGATTTACTTACTTTTTTTATCCTAACTGTATGCATGCTCCTTATAGCAATAGCATGTTGGCACATTCAGATACATGGACATAGTATGCGCTTCTGGTTTATGTCTATATAGCACTATTTCATTACCTCAGTACTACTGTAGGACTAACAGTGCTTGGCATCTTGTTTACAATTTGCCTCCACTACCTGCTTTGGGTGTGTGGCTCAAGAAAAGCAATGAGTAAGGGTTTAAACAGTAAAAATGGTGAGAGATTTACTGAACCTGTCAGAGAAGATGTGGCAGTGCTGTTATGAATTACTGTGGTGGGGAGGGCACAGCTACTCCAACATTTCATTGGGATTGGCAGTACACTCATATTTTACCTAAGCCCTCCCCCACTACCTACTGGTTTGTGCTCCAGCATCCAGCATCGCACATCTCTTCATCACTTCTTTAAGTAATTCAAGTCTCAATACTAGCTTACATGTATTTTTACTTTTATTTTCGATCTTAATTAGGTGAAAACATGTACAAACAAAGTTGCTAAACATGATAATTATTTTTAGTTGGTTTGCGGTTGCACCCTAGCACCCTACATGATGCTTCACAACCTCATCCAATCCCTCATGTCCAAATGATACAGGAACAATTTCACACTAGCATGTGAAGGGGAGCAAAAATTGAGTGACCAAACCAGTTACTACTGAACAGTTCACTCATCCAGTATAACTACATATTGTATATCTTTTGAGCAAAATATTTTTTTTTTTAAAAAAGAGTTGACATCTTAATTAATCAATTTCTAAAATAGATTTAAGTGTTTTGTGAACCATAATCAACCTTTTGAAAGTTGACAAAATAAAATGGACACTGAGCAGTCTGAGAAACTATGTTTTGACAAAACATAACCTTGGTAATGTAATTGCTCCTAAAAAAGAAATTTAATGACAGTGATGGTGATGTTTCAAAAGAAAAGTGATACCAATTAATGATTTCTTTTTTACATAAATGGCCGGGGGACGATCTACAGGGGGTCATGGGAGGGCAACCATCCCCCACCTCCCCACTTGCACCACCCCCACCCCCTGAAACTTGTAAAATTGATTGTTTGTTTGTCCAAATGCCTCTTATATCCTTTGTTTCATTGGAAGAGATAATACTGCAATAGATAGTTTAAGTATTTTGACTTCACTGAAGAGGTATGTGATACCCCCCCCCCCCCCCCAATTTTATACCAATAAAAAAATTAATAAATCACCCTTACAATAGTTTGTTTACATTTAATTTCAAATATATTAACTGTGTCAAATCATAAAATAATATGCCATCCAAACAAAACGAGGAGTTCGTAAATCTTTTCTTCAAAATGAAATTTAAACCCATTATCTGATCTCGCGTCCCCATCACCAAGGTCGCATTGTTTCTGTCCTTAGGTATATCCACAAAACAGACTTGGATATGAAAAAACAAACAAGCAAAAAACCTCCAAGGCACTGCCTTTTCAAAGCACAATTGAACTACTTTTTCTTTTTCACAGAGGCCATGGACACACTCATGGACACAGTCTTTTCTAGTGGTGTTACACTAGCATGTGTCTTCCACATATGGTGTTCCACCAATAGCAAGCTTCCACCTAAGGGTGACTGGAATATTTCATCAGTAAAGCTGATGATGGCAGAAGAATATATAAAACCTTGGTAGGTGAACAAGCCTAAAAATAGTAAAATAGAAATCTTGTCCAATTTGGGCTTTTTCAACTGCAAAACAAGAGGATAAAAATATGAAATAAGAGGATTTTATTGAAATGTGAATTTGATTCATTATGGCATGAACGGAAATTAGTAGTTCATTAAGGTTAGGAAACTTCCCTTTCATATTCACCACATATTATTGCCTGATATTGTTTAGTTCAACTAAAACACACTAAAATGCTGGCTGTTCCATTTTTATTATATTTTATTTGCTTTATTAACAGCAAAAATTAACAGTCCTTTAAAATATCACAATGAATACTGGTACTAACCAGCATTAGTGTTAGTTCCCCAGGTTCAGGTCACTTCCAAATATAATCATGTCAGGTTTAAAAAGAGAAGAAGAGAAAATAATAAGGAAAAGAAGACAGCAACAGACCACACAAGAGCTGAAGACCTGAAGTCCAAGAACTGTCTGGGTTACTCTTTCCACCTTTTATATACACTTAATGTCTTTGGGCAGGGGAACTGTGTTCTTGTTCACTTTTCAGAACCCCCTGCCTATAATAAATGAAGAGCCTTTTCAGAAGCCTGCTTCTTTAACTTTTATTCTGGGCACTCAAGGACAGACTGACCATCTGGAGTTGCAGACCTTTGGGCCTGTGTTACTTCAGCAGCATTGATAGGAAGAAAAAAACCCGGCTCATTCTGTTTGGCTATCCTGATTTAGCCTGGCACAGTCTGTCCACAGAGGTGCCTGTGCACAGCAGTCATCAATTTATACCATCTCAGGAGTCACATCTCTCTTTCCTGTAAATTTTATTTGAGGACATTGCGTTCATGTGGTATCGCAAGAAATAAGTGGTTATATAAATATGAGTATACATAATAGTTATTATTCATAGATACCTACATCCTAAGTTCCTGTTAATCTTCTGAAAGAAACAGAATGAATGTGTTGTTACAATGGTAATGCCAGGAGAGGCAGTATTAGTTCTGTGTTACATTAATGTGTAAGGAAGTGGAAGAAGAGTGTGTCCTGTAGGAGGCAGTAGAAAATGGATGCTCATGTTCTGTACATGCCCTGAAAGTAAGGTTCAGTAAACCAGTGCAACGATACCCCGGTGTAAGGCTCAGTTATTGTATTTTTATTTTTTGAAGATGCAACATCTTTTTGGCGACGAGGACGTTTAGGGGGAAGGAGTTTGGGCGATCGGACTGAAAGAAAAGAGAAGAAAATAAAGTGATGGAGTCGGCTACAGGTTTGGCTAGCTTTTCAAAGAATGCAAAAGTTTTCGGCTGGAAATAGAAGGCAGTGACCTCGAAGCGGAAATGGCTACAATTGGTACGCTAGTAGCGTTCGATCCAAAGAATCAGACTTGGGATGAGTACACGGAAATACTCGAGCAGTTTTTCGCAGCTAACGGGATCGGCGATGCAGAGAAACAAAGAGCGATATTAATAAGTGTCGTCGGAGCAGCGACGTACAGCTTGATGCGAAACCTTCTCAGCCCGGCCAAGCCCAAAGACAAAACCTTCCAAGAGCTGGTGCTTCTGATGAAAAATCACTTCGATCCGAAGCCCAGTGAAATTGTGCAAAGGTATAAGGTCGACTCTCGCTCCCGCAAGCCGAATGAAACCGTCATGGAATATGTAGCGGAGCTGCGTCGCCTGGCACAGGATTGTAACTATGGCAACACGTTACAACAGATGTTGAGAGATAGGATCGTCTGCGGAATTAAGGATGACCGAATTCAGAGACGTCTCTTGTCAGAAATAGATCTCACTTTTGACAAGGCTCTGTCAATTGCAGTAGCCATGGAGACTGCAAATAAAAATGCACAGGATCTGCAGACCTCAGGGGCGTCAGCAAAATGTTTCAGTCTCGCTAGAGGACAACAGGAGAGTCGTACCTTTAAAGCAGAAAATAAAGAGTGTTATCGTTGCAAAGGAACCAAGCACACAGCAGCAGACTGTAAGTACAAACAAGAAAAATGTCATGCTTGTGGTAAAATGGGACACATAGCTAGAGCTTGTAAAAGCAAGACTAAACTGAACCAGAAAAAGTATGGATCGACATATGTAAAGAAAGAAAAAAAGCAGAGTTCACACTACAGTACTCACAATGTGGGCGAGAAAGCAGATAACAACAAAACTGATAGCTCTGAAGATGACTCTTTTATGTTGAACTGTGTCAAGTGCAGTCAAGGGCACAAAAGAAAACTGTTCAAGTTAGGGTGTGGCAGTGCGGTACACTTAAGAAGAGTAGACCCCTACACTGTGGATATGCAAATTGATGGAAAAAAGGTGAACTTTGAAATAGACACTGGATGTTGCCTAACAGTCATGAACGAAGCAACATTCAGAGAAACAGGGAAAGACAGCAAGCCCCCCAGCCTGCAGCCCATCAAAATCAAGCTCGAAACTTATACAGGGGATCCTGTTAAGGTGATTGGTGCAACACGAGTCAGCGTCAAATACAAGCAGCAGAAAAAACATCTGCCCCTGGTGGTGGTCGAAGGCGACGGCCCCAGCTTGCTAGGTCGAGCTTGGCTCGAGGAAATTAAATTGGACTGGGGTGAAGTGAAAAACAGTCCTAACAACAGAAAGCTGCACCAAGTCAAAACAACAGAGAAAACACTTCAGCAAGTGTTAAGTAAACATGAAAATGTGTTCAAAGAGGAGTTGGGCACCCTGAAAGGAATGAAAGCTGCTATTCATGTGAAAAGTGATGCCACCCCACGCTTCTTCCGTCCGCGTTCTGTCCCCTTTGCTATGCGAGCAAAAGTCGACGAGGAAATAGACCGACTGTTGAAAGAAGGCATCATCTCGCCAGTGAAATATGCTGAATGGGCGGCACCAGTAGTGCCACTCCTGAAGCCCACAGGGACAATAAGACTGTGTGGGGATTACAAGCTTACTGTAAATACCGTGGCTTCACTGGAGCAGTACCCCATACCCAGAATGGAGGACTTGTTTGCCACACTGTCCGGGGGTAAGCAGTTCTCAAAATTAGACATGAGCCACGCTTACCAGCAAATCCTCTTGGACGACGAATCGAAAAAGTGCGTGACAGTAAACACATCGCGGGGGCTGTTCACGTATAACAGATTGCCTTTTGGAGTGGCCTCTGCTCCAGCAATATTCCAGAGGACCATGGAAAGTCTTTTGAAGGGGATACCTCATGTAGCAGTGTATTTAGATGACATCTTAGTGACTGGAGTGGATGAAGTAAGCCATCTACAGAACCTGGATGAGGTGTTGACCCGGTTGGAGGAAGCTGGGTTGAGGTTAAAGAGGTGCAAGTGTGCCTTCATGCAAGAGAAAGTGGAGTACTTGGGGCACATAGTGGACGCCCAGGGGCTCCACCCAGTGGAAAAGAAAGTTAAAGCAATCATGGACGCACCTACCCCCACAAATGTCACTGAACTGAAAGCATACTTAGGTTTGCTAAATTACTACAACAAATTCCTTCCAAACCTGGCAACCCGGTTGGCACCCTTACATGAACTTTTGAGACACGAGGTACGGTGGACATGGCAAAAGAGACAAGAGGAAGCATTCCAGAAATCTAAGAACCTGTTGAACTCAGCAGAGGTGTTAGTTCATTATTCTGCTGACCGTGAGTTGGTTCTCTCATGTGATGCATCCCCATATGGCGTAGGCGCCGTATTGTCACATAAGATGGAGGATGGAAGCGAGAGACCTTTGGGGTTCATGTCACGCACACTCTCTCCTGCTGAGAAAAAGTATTCTCAGCTTGACAAAGAAGGTCTAGCTGTGATATTTGGCATCAAGAAATTTCACAAATACTTGTATGGCCGAGTTTTCACGATTTACACAGATCATAAACCCCTAATCTCACTGTTCAATGAAAAGAAGCCTATACCTCAGATGGGCTCACCAAGAGTACAAAGATGGGCCGTGACATTGAGTGCTTACGAGTACAACATCAGGTACAAGCCAGGAAAACATCATGAAAACGCGGATGCGCTCAGCCGGTTGCCGGTACCAGACTCAGCACCTGAGCGAGAGATGGCTGAGCAGGTTTTGATGATGGATGTACTGGATGACACATTAGTGGACACTGCACAGATCAAACGATGGACAGCTAAGGATGTCTTGTTGTCGCAAGTCCACGAGTACACCTTAAAAGCCTGGCCAACTGAGACCGACACCTGTTTAAAGCCGTATCGACAGAGAAAACTGGAACTGAGTGTGAGGGATGGTTGCGTGCTCTGGGGAGCCCGAGTAATTATTCCCACCAAAGGCCGAGACAAAATATTGAAACTCCTGCACCAGACTCATACAGGCATGTCGAAGATGAAAGGCTTGGCAAGGTCGTATGTATGGTGGCCAGGGATGGATGAGAACATTGAAAGAGAAGTGCAGGCATGTGAGGAGTGTCAGAAACACTCCAAGTCACCACCTACTGCACCATTACACCCTTGGGAGTGGCCGGAGTCACCATGGTCCAGAATCCATGTGGACTATGCAGGGCCTTTCCTCGGGGAGATGTTTCTAATCATTGTGGATGCTCATTCCAAGTGGATGGACATTTACCCTGTGAAATCCTCTACATCACAGGTAACTATAGAGAAACTGCGCCAGAGTTTCAGTGTGTTTGGACTACCTAAAATGTTAGTTTCAGACAACGGAACATGCTTCACAAGTGCTGAATTTGAGTCATTCATGAAGCAGAATGGAATTGACCATGTAAGATCAGCACCTTTCCACCCTTCTTCAAATGGGCTGGCTGAGAGGGTGGTCCAGACCTTTAAGGAGGGGATGAAGAAAGTCAAAGGTGATACCTTGCAAACCAGACTGTCCCGATTTCTGTTCAGTTATCGCATCACACCGCATGCCACTACTGGTTTATCACCTGCAGAGTTGATGATGTCACGGAGACTCAGATCAGTTTTGGACTTGCTCATGCCTGATGTGAAAACAAAAGTGCAGCACAAACAATCGAAACAGAAAGAAAATCATGACACCAAGAAAAGACTGAGAAGTTTCACACCAGGAGACAAGGTCTTCATCAGAAACTACTCCTATGGCCCGAAGTGGATTCCCGCAGTCATTGTGAGAGCATCGGGTCCAGTGTCTTACATTGTTACCATTGGATCAGGTCAAACTGTGAAGCGGCATGTGGATCAGGTGAGAGCAAGAGTGGCTGACACTGTTCCCAGTACACCAGACAGGGAGGTGGAGCCATTGCTTGACAAAGAATCAGTGCCTGAGTGCTGCTGGCCATCAGAGTTGGACACATCGCCACAACCTCCGGCAATGGAGTTGCCTTATGCTCCGGAGACTCCAGCTCCCGGAGACTCCTCAGGGACACCCGTGTTGCGACGTTCCCAGAGAGAGAGACGTCCACCAGAGACTTTAAAGGACTTTGTTAGGTAGTGTGAGATCTTCCAGAAATAGAGCAACAATGCGCTCTGATCTCACAGGAAGGACGTACCTTCCTAGTTAGAAAAAAAAAAAAGAGAAACATGGAAACCTATGTACAGTTGTATGGTTGTATGGTTACCTTAATTACATGTTGATTGTTTGTTAAGCATTCTTTAGATAAACAGTTATTTTGTAAGTCAAGGGAGTTGTTGACTTAAGGGGGGAGGAGATGTGGTATCGCAAGAAATAAGTGGTTATATAAATATGAGTATACATAATAGTTATTATTCATAGATACCTACATCCTAAGTTCCTGTTAATCTTCTGAAAGAAACAGAATGAATGTGTTGTTACAATGGTAATGCCAGGAGAGGCAGTATTAGTTCTGTGTTACATTAATGTGTAAGGAAGTGGAAGAAGAGTGTGTCCTGTAGGAGGCAGTAGAAAATGGATGCTCATGTTCTGTACATGCCCTGAAAGTAAGGTTCAGTAAACCAGTGCAACGATACCCCGGTGTAAGGCTCAGTTATTGTATTTTTATTTTTGAAGATGCAACAGTTCATCATACAGACAGGTAACTTAGATTTTGATGAATTGATTTTTTAACAGTATATTATACTGCATCTAAATTATCACTAAAATGTGACATCAAAGCTTTGGATCCTTTTCAGAACTCATTTAGAAACTATTCTTACTTGAAATGGCTAAAATAAAAGTCCCGCATACAAAATCCTAATGTGTTATTTATTTCAAGTCAGAAAACAACCTTTTCTCCTGGAGACCATTCTCATCATCACCTGTAAAGTATTAGTTTGACTTGATATTGAGATCTGCAAAGGACAAGTGCCATGACGGGCTTTTCATAATGACTGATGTCATCTGTCACACTTTCATTTACTGTTCAAAGTGATGGACAAATGCCCAGAGCGTGCCATGGGATTGCATCATCAAGATGCCTTTTTGAACGAGCGTGACGAGCCAGCAGAGTTTCTCTTTCTTACTCACAGTGAGTCAAAGGGATCAATTATGATTGGTTTCTCAGCAAGTAGTCAAGCTGTTTGATTGACTTCATAATGTGTGTTGACATGGAGATCAACTGAGCCTACTCAGGCAGCTGGTATTAATGAAGCACAAATTAACAACTGTTTGTTCGCTGGTGGCTGTGCAAATCCTTATTCCCTTTCCTTGAGCGCAACACCCACTCACGGATTCACTTGTGTGGCAGCAAACAAATCTTTTCCACCAAGCTAGTCTTGACTCGTGTTGTTATGGCAATTAGATGGTCCACTGTTGTGCTCAGTCAAGCCAGAACCTTGATCATAATGCTATCCTCTACATTTGACTAATGAACTGAATCTTCAGAACATGACTTTTTTCACCCTTTTAGTGAATTAATTGCTTGTAGCTGTTGGGTTATATGGTTTTATTTAACATGCAGGTTATTTTACTCCTAAGATAAAACACGATTAAACAAAATACTTACAAGTGTGTTTAAAATACATTATGGTGCAGAATTGTCGAACCAACCCTTGTGTCTTTATATTTTGCTCCCAGAGAGGCAGAGTTTTTTTTAAGTGCTCTTGAGGAATAATTATGTATTATGTTATTTTATTTTGTTTTTTGTTTTAATTTTGTTAAGCCACTTAACATTGACCTATGAGTTATTCGAGCATAAAACGTTTAAATGTATCTTTAGATACTTTGTTACTAGCAGTCTGTCACAAAAAAACACAACTTGCTCCAATTTCTTCAGTTGAATCTATGAAAAATGCCAAAGATAACACAGAATGACAGGCATAAAATAGTGTTTTTGCACCAACAAAGTGATTCCATAAAAAGCTGTTGGCCAAAAACTTGACATATCCCGGCATGGTGTTCAGTGTTTCCTTAAAATGTAAGCGAACTGGACAAGTGGAAGACAAATGTAGCAGGCCTAAAAAAAAAAACCTAAAGCAGATGAACAACATCCGAAAGTCATGTCCTTGGGAAATCCAGCTTAGACCTGACACAGCACCTGAGAGATACAACTGGCCCTTCAGTTGAGCCATCCAAGGATCATTAGTAATGGTCTCAGTGGAAGGGTGACTGTCAAGCAGCCATTCTCAAGGAAGGGAAACGGAGAAAAAGCTGCAGTCAAATTGCCCAAGAGCTGGGCTGAAAATCAGTGGCAACAGGTCTTACGGAGTGATGAATCCAAATTTGAAATCTTTTAGTTCAAACTGTGTCTATTGCCATCTGGGAAACACAGTGGTAGCTCATGGTTTGGGGCTGCATTTCAGCCAGTGGTTTTGTGGATTTTGTCAGAATTCTGGGAAAAGTGTTTTGATCCTGATTTCAGATTTTGATCCGACATAAAATACATGCAATACATCTGGAAAATATCTGGTTGGCAACAGCTCCATTTCTCAGCATGAAAATGATCCCAAACACACTACCAATGTACTAAAAGCATACCTGGGTAGGAAAACTCACAATAGAACCCTATCAGTCATGGATTGGCCTCCCTAGAACCTGAACCTCAAAATTAATGAAGCAGTGTGTCATCTTGATAGAGAGCTGAACAAAAGGCAGCCATAATCCAAAGAAAAGCTTTGAGTGTCCCTCAAGAAGCCTGGAGAAGTATTCCTGAAGACTACTTAAGAAATTATAAAAAGGCTTCCCTGAGGGAGTTCAGGCTCTGTTGACCAATAAAAGTGGCCACTTGAGCTAAAAGTCAGCACTTGTAATCTAAAGAATAAAACAGACATTATGAAAGATCAAACCAAGTGTAAAAGAAAGACAGATTTTCCATAGCATCAAATAGGTAGGGTGATACATTTATTGAGATGCTGGAAAGATTTTCTGCTGCACAGTTTTTACTGTTGAATCTCTGCTGTCTGTGGTTGTGTGTACTATGCGCTCCACTGGAGTTCGCTTGGTATCCAGTGCTTTCTCTGGCCCATTCGTCAAAAGGACCAGTGCTCTTGTGAGTAAAAAGATTTATACACCATCGAAGAGAGGTGGAGAATTAGCACAGATTTATGAGCACAGACTGCAATGGCAGGGCCCAGGCAGCTGCTACTTGACATTTGAACAGAGAATGTGAAAGAAAATTGGAGACGGGGGAAACAGGAAATTGGAACAACAGAGAGGTGGGGAAGGAGTGAGGAATGAATAAGACACAGTCTGGTCCACAAAAAAAAAAAGAAAAACGTTAGGGGGAAGCCATTTATGACTGAAAAGGTTAAAGAAATAAAATTTATTTTACATTCATCAATTAGCTACTTTTTTGCAAATCATTAGCCTTTATCTACTTAAGGTTCAAAAAGTGAATGAAAATTAATTTTAGACAACAGATTTAAATTGATTGCTAAAACAAGCAGGTTAGTAATGCAAATCTTGCTTTGAATCAAATCAAAACACCACAGCAGCTTTCAGGTCATCGATTTATTTTGTATAATTGAAGAGATTCTGTTCTGACCTGCAGAACAAAGGTCTTCAGTTGACAAATCTTGTTTATTTTCTCTTCTTTTCTTCTGTGTGAGGTGGACATCCAAAGGCAATGTGATGACCCATGGCAGATCTCAAAGAATTTGATTACCATACCCACCTAAGAACTTTTCCACTTCATTTTCTTTGCTACTCACACTTTCCACATTTATCTAGTTGATAATGTGGTTCTATTTCCTTACCAGCTCAGGGGCACTGGAAGCTATAATAGGTGTAGAAAACATTAGGTCAGACATTGGAACACACAATACAGCAAATAAGTATTGTTCAGAAAGCAAAATGGTAACTGGTAAAGCTTCAGTAAGAACCAACAGCCAGTTTGTTTTTGAGAGGGGACAAAAAAGGGGAAGATAAAGCACATATTAAAAAAACAATAAAAAGGAAAAAAAATACAGAAATTCAAGTAATAGTAGACTTTTCTGCTTTGTAATTGAATAGTGAAGTAGCAAAATATAAACAGGTTTTGAGCTGACTATAATTTCTACCATACATAGTTGTTATTGAGCTAGATAGAGTAGACTTTGATTATTGTGATAATTATGTTATATTATACAAGTAAGGTGGTTCACAATTTTCATGTATGCTCTGTTGATTTCAAGATTTTAAAAAACCACTAATAATACAAACCAGTAGTAGGGCACAATATTAAACACATCTTTGTGCCAGAATTTGGTAAACAGTACTACTGAACCTACAGGGATGCTGTGAGTCAAGTTCTATTTATTCATACGAAAAGGGGGGAAAAGCAGTTATTTTCTTGCTAGGAGGTAAAAGTAGACAAAGCATGAACGCCCTGAATGATCCGCAAGGGAGAGGGAGGTCAGCTTCCTCACCTGAATTTAGAAAGCACGCTGGAATGGTTGTAAGATCTGACAGAGGTGACAAAAAGCACAGAGAGGGCTTTTTTTTGGCTGTGGAGTGTATGGAGTCACATCTACTAAAGGTGAATTGTCATGAGGTGACACTGAGATGCACAGAGGCCAGTGGGGGCATTGCCTCAAGGCACGCATCCACATCCAAGTTGAGTCAAAATCTGACTCACAACGTCAGTGTTCAGCTTCCATTAGTCTGCTGGTGACCTGCACTCTATCCATGACTTCATCTTGATTCTCCCACACCCTGTTAGCAGTGTGTGAGCACAAACACAAAAGGAGGTTACTCTCAGCTGGGGTCAATCCCTGCCACAGCTAGTCATGTCTGTCTTGGCTGGATGGAAAACACTCCAAGAGTGTCTAGTTGGGATTTGTCCACCATCTTCACCATCCAAGAGTTACTCCAGACACAATTCATAGTTATGGTTGACAAGGCTGCAGCTGAAACTTGTGAAGAGCCTGCAGACTGTCTTCATCATCACATGCTCTGGAGGATCAGGAGAGGAAAAATAGTAAATTTCTGGCTATGATTTGGTGTGTGTTTATATCCTTGGGAGATTGTAATGTGACAGAGAAATATAGGGGCTATGATATGTAGCAAGGCACACAGACTGACTCATGACCTACTTAAATTAGGTCAGATCTCTGACACCAAGAATACAAAGCTTTATCTTTTTCTTTACACCTGAACACTTCATGTGACTGGACATTAGTAGTAGTAATGTACTGTTCTCCATTTGATGCAGTTTTTGCAAAGATAATTGCATGAAATAGTAAACATGAGAAGAGGACCCCAAGATAGGCAACAAGAATGAGAGTAAGTGCAAAATCCACATGTTTTACCACACTAGAGGTCACAGGAGGTCACTCAACATGGCAGGGAAACCAAGCAGCGAGCAGTTGGGAGGGTAAAAACCCCAAAACAACAACAAATGGCTACAATGCTTGGCTTACAAAAATACAACACAGGTGGGCTAGTAAACTGGTGGGAAACTAAAGAAAAAGTTCAATAGGAATTCAAGAAAATAGCAGAAACAAAGAGAAAATGACTGAATTAAGATCACAAAAAAAGCTCATGCTTTCTTAATCTTACCAATTACAATTGTGAGCAGTTTACATACACCTATAATGGGCATAAATGTCAGTG